AGCAGAGCAAAAATACACTAAGAGTTAGACCTAACACACTTAGCTAGTTTATCTACTCTGGAACTAGCTAAACTAGTTATACATATATTTATTTGTTACTGTCGGTCACTCATTACAGGTTCAGCGAGCTGCACGAGACTGACGGGCTGTCAGGAGAGGGAGAGGAAAAGAGAGCACCCCGTTTATTTTTCCCATTTTATCTTCCCATCTTTTTGTTCACAGCTTCTCCACATTTCGAAGTGTTTCACGAGCCATAACGACCTATCTTTCTTCCTGGCTTGCTCTATAATGATCAGTGTTGGGACTAACGCCGTTATTTTTGGCTGTAACTAGTACTCTAACACATAACCTTTTAAATTCAGTAACGCAGTTACCGTTACTACATGGTGCGTTACTTCGTTAGTTTTTTTTATATAGTCAACAGCCAGGCGAACAGAGATGAGAACTGTACTTAAGTACTTGAGTAAATGTACTTAGATACTTCCTGTGTCACATGCGGAGACGGGCAGTGGGCGTGTTTGTGTTGTTTACTAACAAGACTATCATGGCGGCGGCGATATTCTCACTATTTCACTTTTGTCGAGCACAAAGAAAATAAAGTTTCTGTTAAATGTAAGTTGTGTCTTGGCGGGTCAAAGATCCTATCTACTGCCCAAACCAGTCATTCAAATCTCTTAAAACATCTGCAAAAACAACATGCTGGGACGAAGCTAGTAGCTAAGACCACAGAGACTCAGCCGACGCCACTCCACCTCCACCTAAGCAACAGCGGCTGGATTTTAACCAAGGGACTGCTGGCCAGAGAAAAGTCGATAAAGCCATTGCACGGTATGTTGTAGAACACATGCAGGCTATTGCTACAGTGGAGTCACCCGCTTTCAGGGAGCTAGTTAGCATGATAGCATGTCCGGGCGGCACACGGCATATGGGACGGAACACTTTTTCCAACTACCTGGAGAAAGAATATACAAAAATGGAAAGCCAGCTAATATCGATGCAATCCAGATTGCATATAATGCATGTCAAGTTGATCAACAGATTGTATTATTCTCCAATGCAATAACAGTACTGAAATGAAGGCGATAAGGGCATTAATGGGAGCTCCATGATCAAAACTGCCAAAAAGAGTTTCATCAATATCAAAACTGAGGAAAACAAAAATAAACCCCGTGAACTTTGGAAATTACTCAATAACCAGCTTGGCTGCAGTAAAAAACTCAAAACGAGATTTTCTAACTTAAACATAAAGACAGATAACAGGCTCATCACAGACAAACTGGATGTGGCCAAGTACTTGAACATTTTTTTCACAAACATAGCCACAACTCTTGTAAATAAATTACCCTCCCACTCAGGGCTTTTTGAGTAGATCACATCATGACCTACTACAAAAACCTAGGGGTACGCAAAGATGATTTCAGTCTAGCAAGGGTAACAACAGCAGAGGTACTCATTAAACTGAGCGCCCTCCAACCTAACAAGGCCACTGGCCACGACAATATCCCCTCCAAATTCCTCAGAGACACAGCAACCGCCATCTCACCAGTCATAGCTCACATAATTAACCTCTCCATAAAACAGGGAAAAGTACCCAAAGACTTCAAAATTGCAAGAGTAACCCCCCTGCACAAAAAGGGCAGCAAATTGGACCCAGGCAACTACCGCCCTGTCTCTATACTTACCTCCATCTCGAAAGTCATGGAACAAATAGTATATGAACAGGTCGAAAAGTACCTCGCGGAAAAGAAACTAATCTATGAATTTCAATCTGGCTTTAGAACATCCCACTCCACTGACACATGCCTTCTTTATTTGAGCGACCACATCAAACAAGAGGTGGACGAGGGCAAGTACTGCGGCATGGTGATGCTGGACCTACAAAAGGCTTTCGACACTGTCAATCACCCCATTCTGATTGACAAGCTAAAAGCAATTGGTTTTGATAAACTATCGGTGAGCTGGATGCAATCCTACCTGGAGGGGAGGGAACAGATGGTGGAGGTAAACGGTACTCTGTCCCCCCCCCTCCCAGTGAGCTGTGGTGTTCCACAAGGAAGCATATTAGGTCCGTTACTGTTCCTAATTTATGTAAATGACATGTCATCAGCATGTGACTGCAACTTGTTCCTGTTCGCGGACGACTCAGCCCTGCTGGTCTCTGACAGGAACAGGTTGCAGGTTGAAAAAACCCTCAGCTCTGAGCTCGGCAGAATCTGCACCTGGCTCGCCGATAATAAATTATCATTACACCTGGGTAAAACAGAGTCCATTCTCTTCGGTTCGAAACATAATCTCAGCAAATCCGACGACTTCTCAGTTGCAGTGGGCGACATTATTGTCACAAGTAAGAAGGAAATTACATACCTAGGATCTATTCTTGAGGCAAACCTCTCCTGTGACAAAATGGCATCCAATGTAATAAAAAAAGTCAATCAAAGAACTAGATTCCTATACCGGATCTCCTCTCTGGTAAACAAAAACACCCTGAAGACTCTGGCAGGAGCACTCATTCAAGAGTACTATGACTATGCTTGCACGTCATGGTACCATAGCACCTCCAAGGCGCTAAAAATAAAACTTCAAACATCGCAAAATAAACTGGTCAGACTACTGCTTGACCTTTCATCTAGAACCCACCTCACCTCTGCCCACTTTGACAACCTAGCATGGCTTAGAGTAGACGACAGAGTACAGCCAATGGGCCTGGTCTACAAGATCCACTACACCTCTATGGTACCCATGTACATGTCAAAATGCTTCCCAAAGGTCAAGGAATACCATGATCATAACACCAGAGGGAGCTCCACAATTCATGTGAAACCCAGATTTGGCACAAAAAAGGGGGAATACACGTTTCGCAATGATGCCACATCAAGGTGGAACGCTCTTCCCACAACTGTAAAGGAAAGTAAAACTATACTTACCTTCCAAACCTCTCTTAAAGAGCACCTTCGGGGGAGAGCATTGCAAAACTGGCCCCGGTAATGGTACAAATCTCAACCTGTCGTTCAATGGACAGCTTCCCCCCCCCCCCCCATCTATGTATATACTCGCATTTTAGACTCTGTTACTAACTGTATATCTGTAGACTTGGTATGTCTTAAATGTCCGGTTAGGATGTATTAGAACGAAATCTAAAATGTAAATTGTAAATAAGCCATCTGTCTGTCAAATATGTCTTATATGTCTTAAATGACATGATGAATTGGAAATGGGGGACCCTGATGTAAACAAGACGAAAGTCTTTCTCTGGTCTGCATCCCCTTAACAATTGTATGTTTTGAGCTGTACTGTACTGTACCCAATATACAAGCTGTTAATACACTTTTCAATCAATCAATCAATCAGCCCTTTTTGTAAGTAAATAAAGTTACTTTTAACAGTAACGCATTACATTTTTGTGTAATTAACTAGTAAAGTAACTGAGTTACTTTTGAAATGAAGTAACTAGTAATGGTAACTAGTTACTGGTTATCAGTAACTAGCACAATACTGATAATGATCCAATTCAAATGCAATGACAACAACAACTCAACAGCAACAACCCAAGCTACGACAACAACCCACACATTGCGCATTGTGTAGAGCGGTCATAAAGTGTTGAAGCGCTCAAATTTGAAACTGTTTCAACCTGTCAGAATCGAGACGAGGCAGTGCATTGAATCGCGTGAATGGACCGCGAACCAGTCAAGTGATTCATCCAGGAAATGAAGCAGTTGCTGCTTCGGACGTCACATGTCACGTGATTTGAAGCAAGCTTCGAAGCAGAAGCACTGCTTCTATGGAATAGGAAGTCCAGGGCTGCTTCTCAGGTCGACTATTTTCATTTCCTCGCTCCTCGGTCCTCGGTCTCACCGGAAGTTGTTTGCCCGCGCCATCTTGAGTACCGTCCCATGGCTCTTATTTCTGCCGGAGGACCGAGGATCGAGGAGCGAGGAGCGATCATGGAGGAGCGATAACCGAGGAACCACCAGACCTGATGCTTCTTGACATGAGAGCAGAGTGAAGAAAATACATGAACCTCACGGGAGTCACTCCTCAGTTTATACCGTGTTTTGTTTCAATTCATGTTTCATTTAGTTACAAATATGTGATATATCTGAACAACAAAGTGGGCAAAAATCATTTAATTCATTTTTTGGAAACATTTTCACGATCGCTTTTTTCGTTTTACATTTTCATTTATTGTCATTTCCATTCAGTCATTAAGTGCTATTGAAATGTTAATTTGCTACATATCCACACAAACACACAAAGTGTGCAATCCAATGAATGTTAATCTAACTGGGTTTTGATAGATAACATCTCTTTTTCTTCTCAATTATTTTATTTCTATTGTGCACGCTAATCAATATTAATCAAACTATTGTTCGTTTATACATTTTAAGAATGGCGTTTATCTTTTTTGAGAATGAGTTCTTATTTTATTTTATTTATTGGGGTCTACAACAGATGATACAAATGTGTGTGTCAGTAAATGTGCACTAACAGAGGCGGGGGGGTGTGTGGAAATAACGGGGACAGAGCTGCTGTCAGACCAACAAGTCCTCCAACTAATACGACCAAATAGGTCGATTGTTTTCCGACCCAAATACGACCCATAGCCACGTTTTAAAGTGTAGCACCTCTAGTGGTCGTGTAAGAAACAACATGCTCCCGTCTATTCATTTCTATTAGCAACTCCTGGCGGATCGTAATCCCGTGAACTTTAACCTTGCGCATCAATAAAAGTGCGACGAGTGAAGAAGAAGAAGAAGAAGAAGAAGAAGAAGAAGAAGAAGAAGAAGAGAAGAAGAATAAGAAGACAGATAGACGAAGAATTCAAAGACGAATAAGAAGAAAAGAAGAAGAAAAAGAAGCAAATAATACAGCAATCCTCCTCTCCTCCATCCTAATCCTACGCCGACTCCGCATCTCTCATCCTCCTCCTCCTCCATCCTAGCCTCCTCCTCGCCCATACGCCTCCTTCCTCCAATCCTCAGACTAAGCACCTGTACCTTTGTAAAAAAATGCTAACTCACCAGGGTTTTTTGGACTCGTCACTGCATCACTGACAACATCCATTTATTTCCTACAGACAAGCTAATAAAGGTGAGTAGTCGGATTTATTTTGTCGTCTAGTACAGTGACTAAGATTACTATGTTTACCTAGGAATAATGATAGCAAAGCTAAATTAGCCAAAAGTAGAATCAGCTAACGTTAATGTGAGCATGGAAGTTATGTGATCCATCGGTTCATGCGGTTTATCCAAATGTTATCACACGTCACATTCTTTATAACTATATGAAATACTATTTATGTATTAAGTGAAGAGTCATCAGGGGTATAATGCTGCCGGAACACCGCTCCGGCACCTAAAACGGGGATGGTTGTTAGCATCTGGTGCTAGCTAGCTATGATAACGGATAGGCTGAGAGGCTAATGTAGGTAATGTAATGTTTACACAGTTAACTTTAGTCTAAGTTATCTCAGTGGGTCTGAAACAGTTTGGTCACCATATATGGAAACACATATTTCCAAGGCACACTTTTATATTATTGTATTATGTTCCACAATAGGAGTCGGAAACAGGCCTCAAGTTCTTAGGTTCAATAGCTCCATTGGTAGCATACAAATACAGGTTCATAGGTCACGGGTTGTATGTCGCAGGTTCAACGTCACGCAGCACCCTAAAGAAAATCGAATGAATGTAAAACATCGATGAAATCATTACAATTCATGCTATTGGACATACAACAAATACATATATAATACTTTTTTTTTTTTAAAGAGTAAATAGTTACATATGCACAAAGATAAATTAAAAAAAGTATTCTTATCTTTTTTTAATTATTGAAATGTATACAGTTAAGTTTCATATGGGTGTTGACAGATGTATCCATAGATTTAGTTAATTTTGCCCTCAAAGTGCACAAGATTGATGCATTTAACTTCCCGGGGGCCTCAGGACCCCCCTAGAGGACGTGAGATCCACCCCCACTTAAAACATATTCACATGGATAGGATACTAAATAAATGTGCACACTTTTTATATAGTAACCTTTGTACCTCAGCAGGAGGGAGTTAGTTAAGTGATCAGTGAAGGAACTTTATAAACTATCAAGCAGCTGTGTCCAGCATTTACTGTAAGAATCCACATTTATTCAATAATGCAGACTTTTAATAAACGACCATTCTTTGTTGATTCTGGCTGGAGTGTTAATTGACAGTAGTTACATAAGCTTCAAAACGAGCCACAACTGCGCGTGCACGCATGCGGAACTTATAGAGTTAGCAATACACCCATGGTAATGATGATTTTAGTATTAGTTCTGTGATGATGGAGCATCAACTTTTGGATCAACCAGATATTGACAGATTAGGGTTGTCGATAACAGTCACTTTAAACATGTGACTGACTCTGTATAACCATTTTTTTCCCTTACTCTTGTGATTTTTGTTCATCCTATCTAAAAGATAAAAAAACACGAGTTCATTGTTTTAACAAGATTTTTCACGATATAATAAAATACATGAATCCTGTAAACATTTGTAGTATAGTATTCTTATTTGTTTTATTCCCTTATCTGTGTTTCTGTTACAGATGCCTACTCAAAAAGTGTGCCAGACTTGCAAACACAAAATAGGAGTAGCCAGCAGGAAATGCAGGCAATGTGGTGCCAACCAACCCTACAAGGAGGAAACTATCCAAGCAAAAGGAAAAGGTTGCACAGGAGTGGAAGGCCACGCAACAAAAAAAACCACAGTGTCAACAAAGTTTATGACTCAACAAATCTACTGGTACATTTTTTTTTCTTGCAGATGTCAGTTGGCAAACACAGAATTATGTGACTATGGTTTCCAAAAGTAAAATAAATGAAATATCATACACATTTTGAATAAATGGTAAAACCAAGAATGTCACAGAATCAAATGTAAAGATCTAAATAATAAATTAAAAATAAATAAATATACAAAATGTTTGGGCTGAATATAGATATATTAACATTGGCTCAACTCTGCCCAAAACCAGCCAATATTAATATAGTGCTTGAAAGACAATCAAGTCCTGGAAAGAGTTTGTATTAATAAAGAGGCCCTTAAAAGCACTTTAATGTAGCTTACCAGAGTCTCTGACTTTGAGCCGTGTTCATCTGAAGTGCTTTAGTCATCAATATTTTGAGTTAATGCAGAACTTTGAACCTGAAATGACATAGGTTATAGCTTGCTGACATATTTCAAAGCTAAATGTAGCTTATTCAGATATCTGAATGTGAGAGTTAAATAGACCCATATAAAAATAACCATGTAAATAACCAGTAAACAAAACTCAAAAAGTGAACCTGAGCTTTTTTCATGGTGTTTTTTGGGGCTCCCCTAAAATGGGTCTAAAATCACACCTGGTTAATGGTGGGGTGCCTTCCTCAATGTGCATACGTATCACATCAGTGCATTTTTCACTTATGCAAAAATAAATGGAGTTGTAAAAGCTTTAGGTGTGTGAAAATGTTTAGAGCTGTTATGTAAACAATATTTCTTGTTTTTTTTGTGTCCATTGTGTTCCAGCTCCACAAATGGAAACTTCTTGAGCGGCATCCCAAGAGAGGCACAAATGGTTTTGCGGCCGATTGCCTCTGTCCATGGCAAATTGAGACAGAAGATGGTAACAATGCACTTGTTACCATAAAGAGGATTTACGAAAGCCTTCTTAATGGTAAGTATAAAAATCCACATGCTATATTTTAAGCCAAAAGTCAAAAGCAATTTATCGCTTAACATTTTTTGTAAATTAATTGCTCAGTTATTTTGTTTTAAAAAAACATGTGAATCACTCTTTACCAAGTAGTACAAATATGTCGTTATGTCTTGTTTTGTCAGTTAAAGGTCCCATGTCATGCTTTTCCGGTTATCACCCGTCCCCTTGTGTTATGTAGCTTTTTCTGCATGTAAACGCTCTGCAGAGTCAAAACCCTCAAAGTACACCCTGTAGCGAGTAAAACTCTAACACAGAGAAGACCTGTCTATGCTGCCCCAGAACGCCTCGTTGGACATTTCTCTTTTTCCATTGTTTACTTCCTGAGTATAGTGATATAGTGTTTAGGACAGAGTGAATACACAGAGATGCTGTATGAGAAACCAATGTGAGTTTGGAACATTGATCAATATAAATCTATTCTAGTAAACCTCAACAATGGAATTATGATCAGTAGAAATGGCCATGACATGGGACCTTTTAAACTAGAAGGAAAATACAAAGAAATTGTTCACATGTGAGAATCTAATGATGACATGTTTTTACTGAAAGGATTACTCAAAACAATAAGCAATTATAGAAACAGCTGGTCAATCATTTTAAAGTTGACAATGAAATCAACTAATAATCACCCTTACTTATATACTGATAACAATACTAATAATAACATTACGTTTTGTGGGACTATGTTTTTCGTAAAAGCTTAGCAGCACAACTATTGGTGGATTGCTGCACTGGTTTTCTCATCCTAACATTGAAGTCTTAAATGCTTGATTCATAAAAAACAATCAATATTTGTAGTTTCATTTTAGCTGTAATTACTCAGATTATAAATATATATGGATTATACTTGGTCCATTTATTCAACCATGCCTCTACTTGTTTTCTTCTCAAAAGTGACTTTGGCAACCTGAGGGTCCTTCAACCACAGGCAGAAATGGCCACAGACCCAGGATCAGATTCCTTGTCTGTACCCTCTCTCCTCCGGCCTACTCCTGCTCTCTCCGGCCTGACTCCTCCTCTCTCCTCCGGCTGACTCTCCTCTCTACTCCCTGACTCCTGCTATCTCCTCCGGCCTGACTCCTGCTCTCTCCTCCAGCCTGACTCCTGCCTCTCTCCCTCCGGCCTGACTCCTCCTCTCTCCTCCGGCCTGACTCCTGCTCTCTCTCCTCCGGCCTGACTCCTCCTCTCTCCTCCGGCCTGACTCCTGCTCTCTCCTCCGGCCTGACTCCTCCTCTCTCCTCCGGCCTGACTCCTCCTCTCTCCTCCGGCCTGACTCCTCCTCTCTCCTCCGGCCTGACTCCTCCTCTCTCTCCTCCGGCCTGACTCCTCCTCTCTCCTCCGGCCTGACTCCTCCTCTCCTCCGGCCTGACTCCTCCTCTCTCTCCTCTCCTCCGGCCTGACTCCTCTCTCTCCTCCGGCCTGACTCCTGCTCTCTCCTCCGGCCTGACTCCTGCTCTCTCCTCCGGCCTGACTCCTGCTCTCTCCTCCGGCCTGACTCCTGCTCTCTCCTCCGGCCTGACTCCTCCTCTCTCCTCCGGCCTGACTCCTCTCTCCTCCGGCCTGACTCCTGCTCTCTCCTCCGGCCTGACTCCTGCTCTCTCCTCCGGCCTGACTCCTCTCTCTCCTCTGGCCTGACTCTCCTCCGGCCTGACTCCTCCTCTCCTGACTCCTCCTCATCCGGACTCCTCCTCTCTCCTCCGGCTCCTGACTCCTCCTCTCCTGACTCCTCCTCTCTCCTCCGGCCCTGACTCCTCCTCTCTCCTCCGGCCTGACTCCTCCTCACCTGACTCATCCTCTCTCCTCCGGCCTGACTCCTCCTCTCCTGACTCCTCCTCTCTCTCCGCCTGACTCCTCTCTCTGGCCTGACTCCTCCTGTGTCCCTCAGTGTCTTCCTCACAGAAAAAGAAGACCAACGAGGAATAAAGTGGCAATTAATGGTATGTGCGGGTTAATTAGTAATTATCTTATTTACATAGACTGAAACTGTGTTTGATTTTGCACATTGAATTAGTTAAAGAGAGAGAAAACAATCATCGGTACAATTAGAATACGCCACCTTTGTTTGTTTAAGACTTTGCAGATCAAAGTCTCAGGCCATTTTGAACAGTTAATTGAGGCACAATGTGATGTTAGGGCAATGTTTAGGGGGTTATGCTGAACTTCAACTTATTACCATCTTTGAATCCCTTGCAGAATGTCCCATTCATCAAGGGTCAGCCACTTTCCCCTACAACAAAGTACTGAGGGAAAGAATCAGGGAGCTTTGTTTAGAACATATTTTAAAATAAGAAATAAACTGACAATAATGCTTCCGTGGAACCAAGTCTTATCTTATTGGATTTCGTATACTTTGTTTAAAAGGAGTGTTTCAGTCTGAAGCATGACTGCTAATCTAAATATTGAAATTACAGTAACAATAAATTATTATTAATTTAAGGTTGAGGTCCTTGTGTAATGCTTCATGTCGCATTAATGCATCATGTCCAGCCATTTATTTGTATATCACATGTTTTCTTGTAATCATTTGTAGGTGAATTCTTGGCAGTGAAAATATCTTTTTAAATAATAATAGTATTCCAAAATATTAAACTGATGGGGAAAATGCTATTGACTATGTTACAGTCCTTCATATGTTTGAGTTAATCGTACCTACTATTATTTCAAATGATCATTTGATTTCTCTGGACTTTTCGTATTTACATGTATGACATTTGAAAAAAAAATAAGTTTACCTAAAATCTGTCTTTCTTTACTCAGGGCCGAGGTGTTGGTGCAGTGGCAGTCCTGCTCTGGATGGTATGTATCTAATCTGAAGTTTCCTTCAGTGTAGCTGGTGGGGCTGGCAGAACAGGGGCCAGAAAGTAGTCTTACCAACCAACTTCATCAACCCTGAGATCACTAACTTAAACATTTTGGGTTCCTCAGCAGTAAATTCAATTTAGTTGATCACATGGGGGTGGGGAGCCATGTCATCAATGGCTCTATCAGACAGCGATTGTGCCATAAAGTAAGACATCCAAGTTCTCTGCCCTTCGTCATTCAGACATCGCAGGTCTCCCTTGAAAAAGAGATCTATGATCTCAATGGGACCAATCTGGTTAAATAAAGGTTTGAAATGAAATGAAAATTGCGCCCTAGAAACGCTGTCTGGTTGTAACACATAAGCAGGGAAGTAGCTTACATTGGAATATAAATTAAAATACAATATACAACTGAGTTTATCCTTGATCAATATCACTAAAGGTTAAATGATTGATATGTGATGCTGGATGGTATTTGATCTCTTTTAATTACTTACTTGTTACATTTGTTCTTAACAATTATACTATTAGTATAGTTAGTAAGTAGTATTATTGCTGTGTGCTGTCTTGGAGGCAGTTGTTTACTTGAGTAAAAGTAGAAGTACTCAGATCTTGTACTTGAGTAAAAGTAGAAGTACTCAGATCTTGTACTTGAGTAAAAGTAGAAGTACTCAGATCTTGTACTTGAGTAAAGTAGAAGTACTCAGATCTTGTACTTGAGTAAAAGTAGAAGTACTCAGATCTTGTACTTGAGTAAAAGTAGAAGTACTCAGATCTTATGCTTGAGTAAAAGTAGAAGTACTCAGATCTTGTACTTGAGTAAAAGTAGAAGTACTCAGACTTGTACTTGAGTAAAAGTAGAAGTACTCAGATCTTGTACTTGAGTAAAAGTAGAAGTACTCAGATCTTGTACTTGAGTAAAAGTAGAAGTACTCAGATCTTGTACTTGAGTAAAAGAAGTACTCAGATCTTGTACTTAAGTAAAAGTACTCAGATCTTGTACTTGAGTAAAAGTAGAAGTACTCAGATCTTGTTCTTGAGTAAAAGTAGAAGTACTCAGATCTTGTACTTGAGTAAAAGTAGAAGTACTCAGATCTTGTTCTTCAGTAAAAGTAGAAGTACCAGAGTGTAGGAATACTCTCTCACAGTAAAAGTCCTGCATTCAAAATGTTCCTCAAGTGAAAGTAGAAGAGTATTCTCATCAAAATATAGTGAAAGACAGTAAAAGTAGTCGTTGTGCAGATTGGTCCATTTCAGAATAATATATGATATGTTTTATAATGATTGATCATGAAAGTGTTCTCAAAGCTGGTGAAGGTGCAGCTAGTTTGAAGACTTTGTATACTGCAGGGTAGCTGGTGGATTTACTCCAGGTGGAACTAAAGTCTGATTCAACACTTGATTAGATTTCACATCATTCATCTGTGAAGTAACTAAAGGTATTAATACATGTAGTGGAGGAAAAGTACACCATGTACTTCTGACTTATGTTCACTGCCAACCTAAAAGTACCTCAACAATAGTAATCAATAATGTATTGAAAAGTTATTTGGCTGATTGTTTTATATCGGCTCAGACAGGTTATCTGGGAGGCCCAGTCTACGACGTACAGATCACTCATTTTGAAATATTAAACTTACTTTTCTTTTCTTTAATTGTTCATCCTCGTGTAGAATGCTATCACGAAACACACATTTGGTTGTTTATAGCATAAAGAACATCTGATTTAATGTGAGGTAGGGAAATAATCATTTGAGTATGTGTATATAAATATGTCATTTACAGCAGCTGTAAGATGCTTGAAAAGCTGGAAAATGCACCTTGAAAGTGCTTGAATTTGACTTTGGAAAAGGTGTAAGAACCCTGTATATATAAATATATATATTATACTGCACTTTCATCACGATATTTTTAAGTGACTTAGTGTATCTTCTCATTTGAAATAGCATTGTCAACATACTGTAGAACTACATATTCCAAACAGTTGAAAAAAAGCAATACTTTTTGCTGTGTTTCTGTTTTACAGTGGGGCGAAGTGGAAACATTCCTGGGAGCCAAAGGAAAACTTTCCTAATTAAATATGCCTGACTTTTGTTTTTCTACATTGGAGTAATAAAATACATATTAAAAAAAACATCTATGTAAGTGCCGTGCCTATTTGTGTTCTTATGTTATCAGTGAGCTGAAGCCAAGACAAATACAAATATGTTTTAAGTGTATCCATACAAACTCATTCTCTAAAACTGTCATGTTTGGTCTGTTGAATGACACCCATGAGGAAAAAGGTCCTATACATTATATCACATCGGCAGGGCTGTGATGTGATGAGGCCCTCGCGAGCGTCGACTGGGGGTGGTGGTGGTGTGTAAACCCCGGACACACCAAGCCGATTACAGCTAGTGGAGCCTCGCAGCAGAAACTGTGGCGCACTCAATTGCGCCGCATTTGCGCATCAGATGAGGCTCCCTCCACAAGATGAGGGCGAGAGGCAGACGCAGTCTGTGTGATCGGCGTGTAGGGAGGAGCGGGCCTGCACATCGGCATATCACAGACTGGTGCATACATTGTACAGGCGGCAATTTGAATTGGAATGCAGCCCACTCACGGCAGACAAACCCAAACACTTTTGGAACACGCCACCTCCAGACGCATTAACATGCACTCCCCTAACTTTCCCCTAATCTGACATTGTATTTCATTCCATAACATCTTATCAACAGAGAAAATGAAGGGTAATCAAATAATAAAACATGTCACTCATATCACTTTCTTTCTTACTGTACTTGTCATTTTTATATCCTATATATTCAAGCTGCATTTCAACTTCAATTCTTGGCGATAATACAAAAAATATTCACATTTATTTTTGGATTATGTCTATGGGGGGCCGTTAGGGACATTATTCAGAAATACTGTTCACATGTGAAACACACTGAAACCAAAATCATTTACAAACATGTACAAATCTCTCATATGCGATGGAAACTTCTGAAGCAATGGAAACTGGACTCAGAGAGACACGAGGAGAGCAGGAACTTTGATGGCAAACACTGATGGTTTATTCACAAGACATGTTGTGTGACACGAATTGACACAAAAGATTCCAAACCAATTCTGAAGATCTCTACCCCAGACCCATATGTAGCTAGTTCTGAGAGAAGAATCAACATTGTGCATAACGAGATAAAACCAACACCTCTATCAGCTGACGCCAACAGGCAGGAACAGGGAGACAAAACACTGAGAGCACAGCAGCCAAGGATACAGGTGCCTGCGCTCAGTCAGGACAAAACTGATCAACTGGCTCAAAGTTATTGGCCTTGAAAATATTTCGCCAACAATATATACATATGAAACGCTCTCACACACACACCATATGAAAGGTTCCAGGATAATAGATCAACTCAGTGAAAGCACCGCCTGGTGACCAATCAGAGCTCAGTGTGCAGAGTCGACGTTCGCTACACACAGGGCCTCATCATATAACTTTGCGTGGGGCCACAAGTTGGCCAGGGGGTGCATGCAGAAGTATTATTTTAAGCAACACATTACTGATCTTAGATTTATTTTTCTGATAGAAAGGGACACCTAGTGGTTAAAGCACGTTATTGAATTGTATTATTTTTCACAAAAATGAAACCATCAATAGCAAAAACAGAATTAACTGTCATTAGTAAACCACTCAAATAAAAAGATCATAAGTGGTTTTGTTTTACATATATTTTAAGGATAATAATAGCAATGTAATTATGTGTCTATGACACTTATAACACTGATTTGAAAAACATACAGAAACAATTAATTCACTGCCCTTAATAAAGTATTTAAATATACATTTCAGGTGTGCTGTTTTGTTAAGTAATGGATATTGAATATGGAATAAAGGTTTTGACAAGACCTGGTGTAACAATAATCAAAAAGGACATTAAAAGAGCTCCAGATGTTAATTATCTGTTTTTGCAAAAATAAAGTACACAAAGTTGATTCTCGACTCTTTAAACACAGGTGATTGTATTCTTGTAAAAGTAACAATAACAAGCTCCATTTTCTATCTCCAGTCCGACTCATACTAATATGCAATGTGTTTGGTTCTATGCAAACTCAGTAATATCCATTGTGATACAGTTATAAGGCCTTCACATGAGACTGTCAGTGGAGATTAAAGGGGATCAGGAGCTCACGTCTTCTCAGAGTCATCATCATCATCATGTTCTCTGCTGCTGCTGCTGCTGCTGGCAGCTGGAAGTGAGTCAACACTTATTATACTGCTGTTTAACAGGATCATCTGTCATATAACATTTTTTTTATTTGTACAGGTGTGAAGTGTGAACAGTTGACACAGCCTCTGTGACTGTGCAGCCAGGTCAACGTCTGACCATCACCTGTCAGGTCTCTTATTCTGTTTAATAATAATAATAATAAAATTCAATAACGTGCTTTAACCACTAGGTGTCCCTTTCTATCAGCTGTGCACCGTTATGGTGTAAATACAGCCTATCTACCAATTGGATCAAATATAAAAGTCAGCCGAATTAGTGTTGATACTGCAAGGAGACGTATTGTGTGAAAAGAAATGTAAGATGTTGTTTAATGGCTGATATATTTATGATCCACGTCACGTTTTCAGTTCCTCATGTTTGTCTAGAAGTCTTCTCATCAGGGCTCTATAAATACAGAACTACGGCAGATATGTAATATTTAATGCAGCCGAACCGTGTATTACAATGCCGTTATGTGATGACTTCCAAAGAGAAAAGCAAGCACACTCAGAATAAAGTATTATTTTAATGTTTTCGGATTTCACATCGCATAAACACCATTTCCCACGTGCATTGCGGCTAAACCATCGAATCACCGAGCTGAGGTCTGTTTCCGGTATTGTTTTTGACAGATGTATTTTGTTATACACACACATTCCTTCACATTTAAATTTACATTAAAGTATTTCGTGAGGCCATATAAAATGTTTTTAAATATGACTACTGTTCGAGTTGAAGAGTTTGTAAATTAACATGAACCGAAGCTGTTGCCTGGTAACACAAACGCACAACGTCACGTCCGTTAATTCCACATCCACAGATTAACATCGATTTAATAAATTAATGTAGCCTTTGTTTCTGCTAAAAGAGGTGTCGACCAGCAAATCAAGAAAATCGGCGAAATCGAGTGTGACTATTACAAATTAAATCATTATTTTATTAATATTGATAATAATAACAACCGACCGTCGGGGTAGCATTTGCTTGGCATTTCCGGGTATATCTCCACTGGTTGGGCCATGTTAACAATACTGTGTAATTGTCACGTTTGAAGGGACAACATCGTGACATCTTCACGTCTCCCAGCATGGTAAATCGTCACATGTTCACGTCTTGCCTTGATACCGGGTTGTGCTGACCATGTCCATGCCTTTATGACAACAGTGTACCAATCTTCTGATGGCTACTTCCAGCAGGATAACTCACCGTGTCACAAAGCTCAAATATTCTCCAACTGGTTTTGAACATGACAATGACTTTTACTCAAATGGCCTCCACAGTCACCAGATCCAAATCCTACAGAGCACCATTGGGATATGGTGGAACCAGAGATTTGCGTCATGGATGTGCAGCTGACAAATCTGCAGCAACTGCGTGATGCGATCAGGTCAATATTGAGCAAAATCTCTGAGGAATGTTTCCAGTAGCCTACCTTGTGTAATCTATGCAATGAAGACTTAATGCAGTTCTGAAAGCAGATGGGGGTCCAACCCATCCTAGCAAGGTGTACCTAATTAAGTGGCCGGTGAGTGTATTACTTAGGTCCATTTGTATTGTTAGTGTGTGTCTGTAGGAGTAAAGTCTAGACACATTCTTTGGATGTAAGCATTGGTTAATTAAACAGATCATGATAATAAGGGTAATCACCAAAACCTTATACCAGGGGTGGGGAACCTCCGGCCCTCGAGGTAACTCGGATCCGAAGGTGACTGATAACTGCTAATGGCATTTAGTTGAATACCAGACATAGTAAATGCAAAGCAGGATAATACAAAAAAAAGGTAATAAACAAGCCATTAAATCGTAATACTCGTTTTAATACGTTCACATGCATACAACACAATACAATAGACTTGTTAAGTCCTGTTCGTTGTCCTGTTTGTTGTCCTCATCACCGTCGTGTTCGTTGTCCTCATCACCGTCCTGTTTGTTGTCCTCATCACCTTCCTGTTTGTTATCCTCATCACCGTCGTGTTTGTTATCCTCATCACCGTCCTGTTCGTTGTCCTCATCACCGTCCTGTTTGTTGTCCTCATCACCGTCGTGTTCGTTGTCCTCATCACCGTCCTGTTCGTTGTCCTCATCACCGTCCTGTTCGTTGTCCTCATCACCGTCCTGTTCGTTGTCCTCATCACCGTCCTGTTCGTTGTCCTCATCACCGTCGTGTTCGTTGTCCTCATCACCGTCCTGTTTGTTATCCTCATCACCGTCCTGTTCGTTGTCCTCATCACCGTCCTGTTCGTTGTCCTCATCACCGTCCTGTTTGTTATCCTCATCACCGTCCTGTTCGTTGTCCTCATCACCGTCCTGTTTGTTGTCCTCATCACCGTCCTGTTCGTTGTCCTCATCACCGTCCTGTTTGTTGTCCTCATCACCGTCCTGTTCGTTGTCCTCATCACCGTCCTGTTCGTTGTCCTCATCACCGTCCTGTTCGTTGTCCTCATCACCGTCCTGTTCGTTGTCCTCATCACCGTCTTCAATGTCTTCCTCCATCATGAGAAAAGACGAGTCCGTGCCAATACAGCTGTAGGTGCTGGTGACTCTGCTCAGTTTCTGCTCCAGAAGATATTGATGGTGTAAAAGACAGCAGTGCAGTCCCCTGTATCCCTCTTCTGTTATATCGCTTGGAGAAACTAAAATAAAAAGACAAAATGACAGTCTATGTAAGGCAACTTTTAATTAGCATTGATGTTGGTTCCATATAAGCAATTTTAATGTTTAACTCCGAGGCTGTATATTAGCTAAAAAGATTTGTGATTCAGAAAAAATGCAATCATTACAGATGCTATTCAGTGACAGACGTTTGACACTGACCAGAAGGGGCAGTGGCAAATGTTATAAATCGGTATTTGTGGAACATACTTTGGTTCCTGATGTCGTCTTTTGTCTGATGAAGGAGGTGGTCCAGTTTGTCCAGTGCCTGCCTCAGATTTTGACAATGCTGGGTCATCTCCTTCACAATGATGACTTTCTCCTCTTCCATACGCCTGACCAGCATAACCTGGTCAAAAAGTCGCCTCTTTGTGCGCAGGTTCACCACTATAATGGAAAAAAAACAAAATATGACAACACAAACACAATGGTAAGGCTAATAAAACAAATAATATCCGTTTGCATTCAATCTTTTTAACTTAAATTGCCCAAAACCTTGAAATCTGGTAAAAAATGTCCAACCTCGCCGCTTGCTGAATTTTTTCAATTCTGTCTATGTTGGCAGAATTACATTCAGTATGTCTTGAGATTCAACATTAGTATGCAGTTCAGGGTGGTCAGGAAGGGTTTTACTGTTTCCATAGATGTGCCTGTCCCAGTGAGACTATAGCATGACTATTAAGACTTGATAGGGCAACATCATACAGACCTTTCAATATAATTATTTCAAAATGCTTTGTTGTGATCATGATGATTTGTGACACCTATGTTGACAGCTCTGTGTTACATTGGTGATTGTATTCTAGTACTACAACTGCATTTATGGAATATCTAGGGCAAACAAAAACAAGTTGTTTCTTACCATCTCCTTGCGCTTCCCAGGGCAGAATGACATCCTCAGACAGACTGCATGCTGCTTCTGTGTCAATTGTCTCTGTACAGGTATCAATGGTGTTGTACTGCAGTATCCTCTCTCTGAGTTTATTCTTGAGCTCTGTCAGTCTTCTCCGTTTGCGTTGCCTTGTTTGGTTGCTGTCTGTAAAGTAAAAATAATAATAATACTAACAATAACAACAACAAGAAACAAATATTGTTTCTAGATAACGTAATAATAAATACCATTTTGTCGATAGAGGTCGTGTTTCTTTCTTCGGAGGGAATAAATAATGTCATCTATTTCTCTCTGGAGCTCCTCCTGGCTGCTCTGGCCTCCATGTTTCTCTTGAAAACAGAAACAACCAGGTATAATCATAAAACATGAAGCCAAATGTTTGGAAATATGGAACCAAATCTATACCACAGTGATCATATAACATACCAGTGGCTGCCCATTGCTTGACCTCCAACACCCACTGCTCCGTGTCCTCCAGGGAGATGTTCAGCTCTTGCTTGAGACTCTCAAGCTTGTCCACTTCAGTTTGTGCTCTCTGTGTAGTCTGGTTAGAATGTTTAAAAGCAGAAAGTGAATATGCGTTCCAGTTGGTTGAGAAGGTTGTTTTTTACTGAATTCCTTTATGAACATTAACTGACCAGACAACAACATGAAATGCTAAACACCTTTCTCTTCAAGGTTGGCAAGTATCACCTTAGAGTCCCTTTTCTTTTTTTTAAAGATCAAGCAGGATTAACATGATTATTATTATACAGAAATTCAGATGAATCAACCTATAGTGCTTAATTACAAAACAACAGAACAGAGACTCTCTTGGCAGAGCAGTGTGCTATGGCAGCACCATCATAATGAATTATTGCAGAATATATTTATTCAACAACATGTAGCTAAGGATGGTGTTAAATTACTACAACAAGAAACTCAGATATTCTTAATGTACATTTTGAAATGCAGCATGGACGTCTTACTTTGACAAATCTCTTTGAGAGTGTCTTGTGGAGATTCTCCACCTTCCTGTGGTTCCATAGCATAGCCAGCACGGTTATCATATCTGCTCTAGCTGTAAACACAAAAACATGAGAATTCACATCAGCTTACAATGTGACACTGCTTAAAACAATTTGTTTTCCTCTACCAACCTGATTTGGTCATGTATTTTGTTGTCAGAGCTGCCCTTGAGAGGAAGCTGTTAACCTGTTCCACTTCCTAACAGTATTTCCAGCACCTTCCTGGCTTCTGCCACCCCACTTCACCTGCTCAGAATCATAAACAATGAGATCTAGATATTTAGTTCAATATTATAATTTCTTGTACTGTACATCTTTAGTTAACATCAGTGTCAGGAGAAATTTCAGAAGTTAAAATGTTCTGAGATTGAATTATGCTTTGAAGCTACAATGTCACAACTGCAGTTATTTGAAGCTCTGTTCATTCATTATTTCTACAGTGCGGATATATTACTAAAACAACATAATGGGTTTTGGAAGCCTATCCTTGTGACAGTCTGTTTTGTAACAATTTTGTCAACATTTGTAACTATTACAATTATTCCACAGGCTTGAATAGAATATACTACATGATATTCTTATGTGCACTACAATTTCTAAAACATTTGAATCTAGTCACACAAATGTTTAACTTGCATACTGTACCTCGCATTTGCCTGTGTGGGCCTTGGCGTGCATTACAGAGAGAAAAGGTTTCATCTCTGTAAGTGGTTGGAGCTCTGGCAACTTTGCTGCCATCTTCTCCAAATAAGGCCAGTACCTGTAATGACAAAATCAATTAGCTTTTCCAGTTGCATGATGGCATAATAGTAAAAAGATAAATCAGGTCCTTAAAATTACCAGTACAATCCTTGTAACCAACATCAGCATTTATCCAAATTAATGCTTTTTTGCTTTACATCTACTGGATGTGCAAGAATTAAATAGATAACACGTTTCACACAAACACTTTGCATTTTGCAATAGTTATAACTACCTGCAGGCAACATCCATACAAAAGAATGTTGCATTCGCAACTTCAGCCAGCTCCTTCTGCAGGAACATTGGGTAGGCATATATTTCACCACGGTAGTGATTTAGGCCTTGTAGCAAGATGCCATGTCTGCACACAGCTATTTGCAGGCCTTCCTCGTCCACCTTGGCCCTGGACTTGTGTGAGGTTTCTCTGCAAGCTGTGAATGTTGCCGGTCCACAAACATCACGACCACTTTTCTGAAATAGACACAATCTGTTACATTTAACCCTGTGCTAAGTAAAATAAATAAAAGGGTTAGTGGGTTGAATAGATTCTTACAATCGTCATCTGGCTCCTGATTTTGTCGACAAAGGCAGACACTTTACTGTCCTGGGCAATGAACAGTCCATCAAATAGAGACGGTTCATCTGTCCTGCGAAATTCGAGAAATAAATTGTAAGCAACATTATCATACATACATAAGTTTGATTGTGTCCTCTATTTAATGTGGGCAATTTGCTTTTGCTATCAATTTTTCATAAATGTGGAAAAGGCCTTTGTGAATTTGATCTGTAATTTTGTGTAAAGCCTTTTGTCACCATTATTTAACATTAGTGAAAAGTTTACTGACTTCTTGTAGAAAGGTACAAATAAAGTACATCCTTTATATTGCTGGGCATGGAATAGGGCAGAGGAAGGCAGAGAAAAAGGTTCCTGGACAATTTAATACATTTATCATGAAGCGATTATATCCAAAAGCTGGTTCTTAGCTCCAACATATCCAACTAACGTCAACCATTTAACATTTTAAAGTTGAGCTAACTTTACAGGCGTCATATACAATAATGTTTATGAATTGGATTGATATAATTATGTGTAATTACAAACCAACTATTGTTTTCTGATGGTCTACAAACTTTGGAAAATAAAAATAAATTAAAAAAATTGGAAAGTTGGGGAAAGTTAAACATTTCAGCAAAGACATTCAGCTTAGTCAATAAAAACAACAACTAAAATGAGAATATGATTTCACTGACCCTCTGGACTTCTTGAAGCGATAATGCTTTCTCTTGCCATCTACAGGCAATAGCCAGCATGTCAGGTGTGCATGCTGGGCATTTAAAGGGCTCCACCAGGCACAGATCTTCTTGTCTGTAATTACAGAAGGCAAACTCCCGAAAGACTCTGTGGAGGTATCGCTACAGATTCTGCCTGTCTGGAAACAAGAATGGTATTCATTTGTTAATTAAAAGTTTGGTATTCAAAAATCTTGAAACCACATTTTATTCTTACCCTTCCTGTGGAAAACGATCGATGTTCAAGCATTTTTATAAGATACTTGCTGGGATATGCTGGGCTGGCCAATTTCATTTGCTCGAATGAATGTGAACACATCAAACTTAAAAATAATTTGCAGCTGGTCGGTTGCTGGCCAGTATTTGTATCCAAGCAAGTCACCTATGCTCGGGGACCATTTGGTGGAACAAGTTGGACAGCACACAGAAGGCAGGCAAACGTTGTATGGGACCTGAGAAAAAATATAATGTGCAATTTGACAGGTATCTATGCAACGCAGGACAAAAGTATAATAGTAATCCTGTATTTTTGCTTGACCACATCGTCTTCTGGTGGCAACAAACCATTGATAGTCACCAACACGGTCTGCTTTCCTGGGATGATGGGGAAATCTTGGCTTGGACCACAGAAGCAGATTTGGGATGGTGGAGGAATTGGAAGCAGACACACTGCAGCAAAGACAATTTCAGAGATTCATATGCATGTTAGGACATGTAGTCAATACAAATTGAGACATTTTAATAGTTAAAGCAAACTTCCGACATGGTGAAAAATGATGCCGCTGTATATGTAGTGCAACATTAGGAAACCATGGTAAGGGAATATGTAATAAACTATTTGAAACCACCTTGTTCACAGAGTCCCATATTGGCCACTTTCATTCCACAACCACTAAGGATGTGGGAGGAATAGGTCTGTAAAACCCATCAATCATGGCTTCCCTGTCATGGAAGACATTTTTGCCATGGATAATTGGGTCACATGCGGACAAAGAAAGGGAGTTCCTGGTGGAACACAGTCCAAGCACCGGACCACAGCATCAGCAGTTTTGCATTGGAGACAGGAACGTTTAGTGACAATCTCTGCAGCCAATTTCAAATGAGGAGCTCTGGCATTGCAGCTCTGAATTTTTTTCACGTTTCAACTGTCTTTGGGTCCATGTTGTTACAGTGGGTGTTTCTTCTGATGATGCAGGGACAGTGAGAGAACCCAACAGGTTTCTCAGTGTGAGAAGATGTTGATCTAAAATAACAAAATATAAAACAAATCATGGAATTTAGTTTAATTAAAAAAAGATATTCCATACTTATACATATTTGGGTCGGAAAACAATCGACCTATTTGGTCGTATTAGTTGGAGGACTTGTTGATGGCTTTTCACTTTAAAATGTATCATGAACACAGCTATTACATACTATAAACAATTAGCTACATTTCAAGTTGAAGGATAATTTAAGAATTCATTGTGCATACCAAGACTTGGGACCTGTAGAGGAATCTCATGTGTCTCCTCGACCTCTGGGGACTCCAGAGAGCTGGAAGGTTTAACTGCATAAACAAAGTACGATGATATAGGAAACATTATTGAAGACCAACGACATTAAAACTTAATGAAACACTAGAACTAGATGATATTGTACAGACCAGATCGATTCTTATTCCAATGTTGGGGTAGAATGTTCCCATCCAGGTCCCTCTTCCTCCAGGACATATTTGATCCTTGCGTTATTTTCTTTGGTTTCTTCGGTTTCTTCGGTTTCTTCGGTTTCTTTGGTATATTAATATATAAAAGAGATTAGATATATCCCTTAATTGTTGCACACAAATCTTTGTAATGTGTGTGTCTTTTATCATTTGAGTAAATGTTATAATACATATTTGGATAATGTTGTACTTGCCTTATTTGCCAACTCATCTGAGAGGGCTTTCCCCGCCTCTAGCCATTCATTCAGTTGCTTGGATGCCATTTTTAAGTGAGGGTGAAAAGGGCAACAACAAACAAAGGATGAACTGACATACAGCGAGGGAGAAAAACAAAACAAAAGACAAGAAAATGAGAGGGGTGAAAGAGAGTAGGAAGAAGAATATGGCTCTGAAAAGAACCGTTGATTTTTTTATGATAATAGGCTATTTCAAATAATTGAATTGATGGATGACCTGAAAAATAACAAACAGATGAACTCAGATTAGTTGTGCTACCATGTCTTTTAATTGTTGTTTCATAAATAAACATTTGTCTAAATAAAACTACAGGCACCAATGTCAATCAAGTCCCAGGTAAATCAGTAATTACAGGGAAATATATTTCTCTTTTTAACTAGATGTGATGGCTTCACAAAACTTAAGTTGAATTAGCGAATGTTTAAAGTAGTAAAACTACTATGACCTGATTATATTAAAGTGTTGAACTTACCTTAACTATCATTAATGCAACATGTTAGGTGACATTTAGAAGAAAAAAAAGTGTGTGCATTATGAAAAGCGCCATGTAAATGTCTATTATTATTATTATTATTAAAATGCCATTTCCTTTCGCATTGTTTAAGGTCATATCATGTCCTGGTCTGGCTGAATATACATACTTTTGCCATTGTTATGTTTTATGTCACGTGCTACAAAGGGTTTTGTTTTTAGGCAAGATTTTAGCTCCTTTTGTGCGAAGGAGAAAACTCTCCCTCCAACTTGTTGCAGAAGAACCTTCTTATATTGCAATACATATCCGTTAGCGCATCTGTACCTAAGCTAAGTGCTAACCTTTGCAACCATGCTATTGCTAACAACAAGCATTCGCATACTATGCCACGGGCCAGCCCTAAAACGTAAAACTGAAATATCGTGGTTAAACATGATTTGTAGACAAACGACAGGATTAATTAAAAGCGTAAACAAATCAAATGAAATACAGAAATCAGATTTACCACTTGTACAGCTGTGACGCTCTTTAACAATTCTTCTTCTTCTTCTTCTTCTCTTCTTCTTCTTCTTCTTCTCTTCTTCTTCTTCTTCTTCTTCTTCTTTCTTCTTCTTCTTCTTCTTCTCTTCTTCTTCTTCTTCTTCTCTTCTTCTTCTTCTTCTTCTTCTTCTTTCTTCTTCTTCTTCTTTCTTTCTTCTTCTTCTTTTCTTCTCTTCTTCTTCTTCTTCTTTTTCTTCTCTTCTTCTTCTTTCTTCTTCTTCTTCTTCTCTTCTTCTTTCTCTTCTTCTTCTTCTTCTTCTTCTTCTTCTTCTTCTTCTCTTCTTCTTCTTTCTTCTTTTCTTCTTCTTCTTCCACTCGTCGCACTTTTATTGATGCCCAAGGTTAAGTTCACGGGA